CATAATTTCTGGAGTGGAATACATGCATGGTCTGGAGTTTAGTAAGTAGACTGAAAAGTTTCACCCACAAGACTCAGTTTCATAAAAGTTGCCCAATTCTGTCTACTATTCTTTTTTTTTTTTTTTCTGTCTACTATCCATTGTTAAAAGCAGCTTTAAAACTGGGTGATTTCTTTCTTTTTTCTTTTGAGACAGAAGCTCAAGCTGTCACCCCAGGTAGAGTGCTGTGGCATCCTAGCTCACAGCAACCTCCAACTCTTGGGCTCAAGTGATCCTCTTACTTTAGTTTTTCTATTTTTAGTAGACATGGGGTTTTGCTCTTGCTCAGGCTGGTCTCAAACTTGTGAGCTCAATCTACCCACCTTGGTCTCCCAGATAGGATTACGGGTGTAAGCCACCTCACCTGGCCTGAAGAGTAGGTTTTAAGAGCATATTTGGGACCCTAGGATGTTTTCAAATGGATAGTCAGTCCTCTGTGGATCAGAATAGGTTGGCCAATGGACTTCCAGCCACAGGCTCTACTCCTTGAGGTTGCCTTGTGGGAAAGACTCATAGCTGGTTTCTCTATTTGACCATAAAATGTAAGCCAATACCCAATGGCTCCAGGGTGTGTTTTGTGCACAAGAAACAGAAGTGATGAAATTCACAGGAACAGTATTGAGAACATACATAGGGCTTATAGACACCAGGCCCAGTAATTACCATTGAACAGAAGTCTACCTATAGTGGTGCTTTCATTGGGCTGGGATTATTGACACATTACATGTGTTTATATGTATATATAAAATAAGCATTAGTACTGAAAGTCGAAGGACAGCTTCCGGGGAGTCATGAACTCTTTCACTATTTCATCTGTGACCTCCTTGCGCCGTGCCTGGTGCTCAGCTACCAAGGGCTGGAGAACCTCTATGAGCGTCTTCTTGAGCTCCCCGGTGAGCATGGCTCCACTGGTATAATCCTGCCCAGAAGGAGACAGAGCTGTGGTAAGAGAACGCCTCCCTGAGCTGCCCCCTCCTGCCTCTGGGCACCAGCTCAGCTCACACTAGGGCATCACATAACTACCTTTTGTTTTTGTTACGTAACAATAACCAGTATTGGGTGGTGCCCATAGCACAGTGGTTACAGTGCTGACCACATGCACTGAGGGTAGCAGGTTCAAACCCCGCCCGGGCCAGCTAAACATCAATGACAAATGGCAACAAAAAAATAGCCAGGCATTGTGGTAGGCACCTGTAGTCCCAGCTACTTGGGAGGCTGAGGCAAGAGAATCACTTAAGGGCAGCACCTGTGGCTCAGTTAGTAGGGTGCTGGCCCCACATACCGAAGGTGGCAGATTCCAACCCGGCCCCGGCTAAACTGCAACAAAAAATAGCCGGGCGTTATGGTGGTTGCCTGTAGTCCCAGCTACTTGGGAGGCTGAGGTAAGAGGCTCTCTTAAGCCCAAGAGCTGTAGGTTGCTGAGAGCTGTGTGATGCCACGGCACTCTACAGGGTGACATAGTGACACTCTGTCTCAAAAAACAAAAACAATAACCAGTACCTTAAACTACACTTTTTTTTTTTTGAGACAGAGCCTCAAGCTGTTGCTCTGGGTAGAGTGCCGTGGCATCACAGCTCACAGCAACCTCTAACTCCTGGGCTCAAGCAATTCTCCTGCTTCCTCCTCCCAAGTAGCTGGGACTACAGCCACAATGCCTGGCTATTTTTTGGTTGCTGCCATCGTTGTTTGGAGGGCCTGGGCTGGATTTGAACCCACCAGTTTAGGTGTATGTGGCTGATGCCTTTGCCGCTTGAGCCAATGGCGCCGAGCCTACACTTTTCTTAAAATGACTAGAAACCTGGCTTTGATAAGTAGCTGGCTTGCCCTTGGGGAGGTCAATACTCACCCCTACCAATACTGCAAGCACACTAAATATAGCATTATTCCTGCTGCCATAATTGGCTTCTATAAATTCTCTGCTGACCTTTTTTTTTCCTGATTGTAACAAATGTTTATTAAACCAACTTAATACAAAGAATTACCTGCAATTCTAAAACTCAGAGGTTAATAAGCATTTTACATGTTTTCTTTTAGATTTTCTTCCTTGTACATTTTATTTAAACTGTTGATCTCTCACTGTATTTTCCTTTTTTTTTT